GGAAGCTGTCTGAAGAAGTGACTGTCTCTATGGCAAGAGGCGCTTGCTGGTGTCCTTTGCTTTAGGAAGCTCTCTCCCTGTCAGACTCTTCATAGCTGACTAAATTTCAGGTTAAGAATTATTCATACGGGCTAGGGAAATATCCAAGGATGATGAGACCACCACTCAATATCTGAAATAAAAATATAAAGCTGAGATTTTTTTGCTTACTATAGTAACTACGAGCTACACTGGTGAGGCCTGGACTCCTTTCACAGAGCAGACTACTGATCTCAAGCCAGGTTTTCAGAAACCCAGAAGTTCCGGAATGGGCAGGCTTTGAGAGCTACGGGTGGGATGATGTCATCTACAGCAGGGCCTTTTGTGAGAGGTTGGTGTTGATTGGCTCTCAGAGGCCTGTTTTTTGTTTTGTTTTGTTTTGTTTTGTTTTGCTTTGTTTTGTTTTGTTTTGTTTTGTGTTTTTTGAGTGGGAGCCTCTCTAAGCCAGTTCTCATGTCTCCCAAAGACTGGTGACATGACTCCACCAGTCTTTGATCATCTCTTTGCTTTCTAGCCCCAATAAGCTTTTCATAAATTCTTTTTCTGCTTGAAAAGGCCAGGGTTGGTTTCTGCTGCTTACAACTGAAAACCCTGATGGATACAGAAATCAGTACCAAAAGTGGTCAGAGGCAAAAGGCTATCAAGAAAATAAGGTGGAATTTGGGACTAGTAAAGTCCGAGAGCAAAGAAAATTTAATTCGTATTAAGAGGCCTGAATTTGGCAGCCCACAGCATACAGTGGCAACACAGCTAACCAAAATATTACAAATTATTCCCAGAAATGAAGTGCCCATCGAAGGCAGTTCCTCTGGGATGGCGGCTCTGAATCAATTTTAAAATGTTTCATTTATATTATGTTTTACATTGGGAAGAACATAATTATGGGTCAAGTTGAATTATGCAGTTAATTTTTTTAAATTAATGTACTTAATTTTTGATTCAGTGTGCTGCATCAGCACCTGGGAATGTTCTAACTGATTCCACAGTTGGGTAATTGGAACCCAGACCCAGTGATTCACACTGAATAAAGTTGAGATGCCTGAGATATCTTGGTATAATATAAAGAAAGAAATCCAAAGACTTTGTGAGATAGGCATGCTGACCAGCTTACCATCATCCAACTCTGTCCCCCAAGGTAGTGGGAATGTCAGAAAACACTTTCCTCAGCAAGGTCTTAAGAAATAAATTGGTGAATTTGTTAGGACTAGTTTGGGCTACAATAGGAACCCTACTCAGAAGTAAACAACAGGTTTATCTGTCTCAGGAATAAAAAGTCTACTAGGACATCCAGAGCTGATATGTCAGCTCCATGGTGCCATCAGGGAACCAGGCTTCTCCTGTTTTCTTACTCGGCCATCAGTTGCCTGTGGTTTTTCACCCTCATGTTTGCAAGATGGTTGCTGCATCTCCAGACATTGTGCCCTCATTCCCGGAAGGAAGCCCACCCCAGAAACTTCTGCCAACCTACACTCGTTGTCTAGATGGAGATCACATGACTCAGTAATTTACTTTCCAGGGGGCATAGGAAGGCAAGGGAGAGGGTGATGGAATGATGTTGAGTCAGTCTGTAGAATCTGCAACAATAGATGGGCATGCAAGTGGGAGATGTTGCAGTAAAAATGGGCTCCGTGATTTTAGTAGAAGTGAGTGGATCCTGGGGTAGCAGAGGTCAGGTAGCTGCAACGTGGGAGGCCAGGCGAATGTGGCTACCATATTCAGCAGCAAAGCCAGCACATTAATTACAATGGTCTGACCTGCAGGGATCTTTGGTGCTGCCTAATTGTGGGGTTCTTAAGACCCAGTTCTCAGGTCTAGGTCAGCCCAAGAGCAAAGGAAAAGCCGGGTGTCTGGGGCAAGGGCCCCGTGGTAACGTCATGAGTACTTGCTATGGACCTTCCTTCCTGTGACTCTTCTCCAGAGGACCCGAAGCCATTCACCAGGCCATTTCCCAGGTGTCCTGAGAAATAACCATACGTGCTTGGGATTGATTATCAGAAACACTGGGTCTGCATTAATGTTAATTCCTAGACACTCAGTACTCCAGTGACCTGTCAGAATGAAGGCACTACCACTATAGTCGGGGGACAGACCGACAGCCAGTGGAGACAGAAGTCCCCTAAAGGAGCAGATTTTCTGAGCAACATGTCTCTCTCATTTTGCCAGGAGGTAGAGATATCTGATATAAAATCTATGCTGATTTCTAGATGGTGGCTAATAAATCAGTAGATCAGAGATTTAGAAAGAACATGATGGTGAAACTGGCTGCGAGGAGGTCTAGGAAGAAGGTAGAGCCAGAGTTCTTGGACTCAGCTGAGTGAGAATGTGGCATGTGAATGTTCAGCTAAAAGTCCTCAGTGCTTTTAATAATCAGGTGTTCTATACCTCTCTGTAGATGTCAGCCTTCATCTCCAGCCACCTAGTTTAATAGATTCATGAAGTGGCCAGTGGCAGGGATAACAGGGAGGGGTGTCTATGTGCAGTCTCTGATGTGTATTTCCATTCACCAACGCTGATCTGTCCATCTGTCTTGACAGCCTACTTGTCAGCAGCAGTGACCAACCACATAGATGCTCACCCAGGGGAGACCAGATGGTGCCTCATGGAGGAGTGAATGCATTTCTTCCTCTTTTATCAGAGAGGAGGCAGTTAAGTGCATTAATACATCCTGGTGGGGATATGTTCTGGAATTGCATCTGCCTTGTCTGTCCTTCAAACCTCTGCCAACACCATCTTTCATGGACTCACTACATGCTTCTATTTATGATATCCCAAATGACACTTGCTTCTGATCATCAACGAGGAAGTAAAGAGTAAGGTGGTGGGCTACTCTTGGAATTCACTGGACTTAAATATAAACACACATCACCCTGAAACAGCTGGCCTGGGGAGACAACTCTTTGAGGTTGAAGTACTGTTCTGCAAGATGTAGTACGTTTAGTATATGCTGCGAACCCGTAATCATGCCCTTAGTACATGGATCTGGGAACCGAAGTACAAGTGTCACTCAGTTAATACCTAATAGTCGCCCTAAAATCTTTGCTTCTATGCCCTGTGATTCTGGGCTTTGCTAGTTTAGAGGTAAGCAAATAAGGAATGCTTTCATGAGAGGAACACTGATGATTCCAATGGTGTAGAAGGGGAGGGTTATGCAGTTGCCTGCATGAATAGAGTTGCTGCTATACAATGGGGGATGGGAGAAGTATGGGTGGAACCATGTGGTAATATTAATATTTATGGTACAGCTTAATGGAAAACTTCTGTGATCTTATGTAGGCCACTAATCATTCACATAGGAGTGAAGGTTTAGACCATCCCACCATAAAGGACTCTAGTCCACCAATGTACTGGCTGAAGTCAGGAGAGATGGAATAAGTAATGGAAGAGAGAGGCCAAAATTACCAGCCATGGTCTCATGATTAGCTGCAGAAAGCGCAGTGGTTACTGCCTGGACATTTTTCTTTGCCATCTCATGTTATTTATATGTATATTTTATCTAACTTTCTCTTTTTTCCTTTCTCCTTACCATATTACTATACATAGTTTGTGTTGATGGTGGCTGACTTTACAATCAGTTCATAGGTTATCAAGATAAAGTCATGATGGAGCTAGGGAATGGACATCATTCAAGATCCTGGCCTGGAACTGGCTGGAGTATATGCGATCTCATTTCTGCTAAGGGAATAATTACGTTTATTTGAATTTTGTATAAATTCCACACATTTGCTAATATAAGAACAGATAATTAGATCAGTAAATAATAGGATATTTTATTTCTAAAACAGTCAAGAAGTTGCTAAAGCATAAAACTTGCCAAATGCCAGCAAGATGTTGAATATGCAACTGTCAGTGAGTTCTAAGAAATATATTTAATTACATTCTCTATTCAGAGGAGAAAAAAATTCGTTATACCATTTGGCCAGTATTATTTCATTAAGCAGTTAATATACATTTATAGGAAATAGGATACAGAATCTCTTATAAATAATCCAATTTATTACACGATATTAATCTTAAGTAATCCTGGTCATTACATAACCACAGGTTTACCAATCTGTGATTTTTATAGATTAATTTGTTAAAAAATTTACAGACACCATTTTTACTGTTACAACATCGGGACAAGTCACACACACACACAAAAAAGAATCAGAAGTATATTTTATGCTAGAGTTACTTTCTGTCCAGGTCGAAACATTGTTCCACTTTGATTTTTCCTCCTCTTTGGATTTTGAAAGTTTTCATACCTAAAAAGAAAAATGAGATAATATTTAATACATGTAAATGATAAGACAATGGATTGTTTGCATACAGAATTGTTTTTGGTCTATTGAGGCATTTTATTTGCACGTATTTATTTATTATATCCCTAGACAAAGAATCCCAAGATTTTCCCTCCTGTGCGTTTTTGTCTTGCTTCTCCACGATGCCTGCTTAGGTTTTCAGTACAATGAAACCAAACTGACCGGACAGGAGTAGGTCGTTCTGCCATTTTTCTAGATCTTTGTATTGCACATTAGATCTGGGGCTGATCACTCCACACTTGTTTAACTTGGCCGCGAGGTTGACAACAATTTCCCCAGCTCTGTGTTCATCAGTTATTTCAAATTTGCCAGTGTAACCATGCTTCATCATCACAGAAAGCAGACGATGACTTTGCAGCATGGCCTAATAAGAACCAGGCATTCGCCTCTTTTCAGCATTGTTGATGCTCTTGAGAGCAGCAGCCAGACATTCCTGCACACCATTAAGGTGGCACGGAAAGATGGCGGAAAGAGAAGAGAATTATGTTTTAAGAAGGGAAATAACAAATTGGAAAAAAAATTTTGTAACAAATTAAAGTTCTTACAAATATATTTTCAGAAGTTGAACACCCCAAAAGAAAAAGAAGCAAAGAGATGAAGAGACAAGTTAGAAAAGCTAAAATACAAATAGCAAAGAGTAATATAAAAAATATAACTTTGATAGTTTTAATCAAAGAAATGTACATTTTTAAACAAGATATAATATTTCAAATAGGCCTAGTTTAGAGAAATACTATGATACTCATGTTACTGAGGATGTGGTGAAATGGGCACTCAATATATTGCTGTTGGAATATACATGCACAGCGCTTCTGGAAGGCAATATAGCAACAGATTTCAAAAGCCTTAAAAATTTGAGTACCCTGTGATGCAACAATTCTAGCTCTATCTCAGTGAAATAATTAAGGATATGTGCAAACATTCAGCTCTAAGAATGTTCATTATCACATTGCTTATAGTAGTAAAAAGCTGGAAACAAAAGGCCCACAATTAGATATGTGGCATAGCAATACTGTAAAATGATGTTAAAAATATAGTAACATATTTCACATGTGAGAGAATATTCAAGATGGATGGATGAAGGGGGCTGCTATACGACAATATGTGCAGCGTGTCTTAGTACACAAGTATGTTTTGGGAGGTGGTGGGATTGAGGGGAATTCGTTTTATTTTTCCTTCTCTGTTTTCTGGATTTTCTACAATAAGCACATAATCCTTATGTATGTTGAAGGGAAGCAGAATTATGCCACCCCAAAACGTACCACTTTGGCATGAGTTATTCTGAGCTAAAGCAAATCAAGACCCAGCAGTCTTAGGAAAAGTTTTTTTTTACTTCTCCTTTACCTGCCTAGAAGAATTTAGATAGGGGGCCTGCACCAGAAAGAGCGCTATTGCCAAAGGTATTTTATTTTATTTTTTTTTATCTGAAAGACTTAACTCCCGGCAGGGCAAACATTTGCTCCTCTTGTCTTGCTGTGAACTGCTTTCCTCCCCTTTGAAGCCCTGGCCCCTGGCCCTTTCCTTGGCTCAAGATAGCCAAGGAAAATTAACATTTTTCTCCTGTTATTCTGTCTTATGTCCATTTAGTTAGACCAAAGAAGCTGGACGGGAATAAGGGAACGTGCAGCTCACCACTGGCTGGATGCTGCTCATTCCAGGCTGCTGCAGCTGAGAGACCCTGAGACAAGAGCCAGCGAAAGGTAAGAATTCTTATGTTGTCAGGCTCGGATTTCTGCTCGCAGGGTCCAGGGGGAGTGAGAGTGGTAAGAGTCTTTTCCTTTTTCTAAGTTTAGATTAGCAGGAGGAAATATTTGTGTGAACTCGTTCTTTGGGTATAGCGACTCTGGTAGAGATTTGTTAGGTGTACTCTTGTTTTCTATTGATCCCCTTCCTCCCAGAGATGGTTGTTTATTTTTGTCTGTCTTTTGTGTAACTTGGCATAGGAGGAAAGCCATAGGGCAGAATGCTGGCATAGGCCCTATAAGCCTATGGTTCGAGCCAGCCTTAGAAACCAGTGAGTTCACGGCTCTCACTAGACCTGCATCTAGTTAGACGAACTTCGCCGTGGGCACCCCTTTGGTAAAAAAGCCGGATGAGGTTTTCCTCTTGTCTTGTTCTACATCTTAAGAGCCTGGCTTTGTGTCCAGTGAGAATATCTTCTCGTCTCTGCAAGCCAGAAGGTTTAAGTATCAGTTTGTATCTGGAGGCCAGCTGAATAGACTCAGGACCTGGGACATGAAGTGACAAGCAGTACTCCTTGTCTGACGGTGCCAGCCATGGGGGAGTTTGTCAAAAGGGCTCCTAGCCCATAAGGGACATTTGGCATCTCAACATTCATTGTTTTGTTAGTGCTGAAAAAGTCCCATTCCAGCAGTGCCTGCCCAGTGTCACAGATTAGCAGGTCTGTGGCTGGAGGTACTGGTTCTCATGGGCAACCGGAAACACTTCATTATACCATTTTTACCACCTGTGACAACAAAGGTTTTTTCTGCAAGTAAACTTTATGGATCTTGTGAAGGCGGTTATCTTTTGCACCCTCTTTTAGGACACTTCTTATATCCATGGTTAAGCCATAAAAGGCTAACTGGTTTGAATCACTATTGAGATTAATATAAGAGCCTGCTTGTCAATGGTCAGATGATGGATGCTTTTAATTGGAAAAACTTCAATATTTGAAAACATTTAGAGAGCTCACATGCTAAACAACTGTTTTACTGGTACCAGCAGAAAGATTAAATTGAAAAGGGGACGTAAAGGAGTACAATAGCTAGTTTTAGCAACTCCCTTAACAAGGTGAAAAAACAAATTACCACATCCACTGTAAAGTCCCCTTCTCAAAAGCCATCCCTGTCTGCTAGTTTTAACTTCCCTTTCCCCACAAGGTTTACGGACAACACTCTGGCCTGCTCTCCAGGTCTGGGGTATACAGGTTACTCAGTACATGCTGAAAGCCAGGAAGTCAATTTAGAAGAATCATGTCACTTGTGGATGTATCCTGGGCTCCCTACCACAAAGAATTCATGTCTCAAGGAGAGGAGATCTATTAAATTATAGAGCCCTTTAGCCTCCATGTTCAGAACATCCTACCAGCTGTGGAGAGGAGTCTGAAAGATCACAGCCTATTAAAACCTCATTCCTGGCACCTTGACTGGCTGCTAAGGGGTATTCTCCCCGACCTTGATTAGATTAGACTGTAGTTATCAGACAAGCCAGATGGCTCACTTGGAAAACCCGATGATTAGAATTTTTCCCAGGCCCTCCTATAAATGATCATGAAATAGATGGGCCGGAGGGCAATGTTCAGGGGCTAAAATAAGCAATGGTAGAGCCTCTTACCCCTAAGGTTAAATGATCAAAGGTTGAACTGGACACTCAGGAAAAAAAGGGAAAATATTCAGAGGCCTTTATGGAACACTTCATACATAATTTTAAAAAACATACTGCATTAAACCCTGAAGCTTCAGAACACTGGAATCTTAATGGAAAATCTGCAGGTACCTGGATGGATGGGCCAGCCTCTAGACAGCATTCAGGTTGCAACCCAATTAAAAGTGACTATCCTTATTTTACAAATTGGAGTCTTTGCTAAACCAGAAATGTGGCTCTAGAAACATTTCAAAGTCCACCTATCTTTACCAACTCCCAAACCGCCCCTAGTCATTTCAAAATGCTTACATTTAGAACAGAATTGTCCTAAAAAGGAAAATTTTAAATAATTACCCTAGACTTCTGATAATAGAAAAATATACTTCATAGGACTATAAATCCTAGAAAACTTGCATTCTTTCTGTCCCTTGAAGATATAAATCTTACCATGTCTTTGATAAATATATAAACACTTCAGGAGATAACTAAAACACTGCCCATAACCACCTGAGATTGAAAAGGGGGAAGGACTTTCTGAAATACAGACTGCTATATAAAAACTTCCTTGCCCAAAATCTAGTCCACAGCCTCCATAAGAGTGTCGAGGGCAAATACAAAAGTCATCTCCAGAAATATCAGTAAAAAGCTTTACCATTTCAGGGGATAACCTTAACCTGTTCTGTCTACCAAAGACACAATTTGGATTCAACTGTTACGTATAAATAAATGAGTTTTGTACTGGTATACCTGATTCGTGGGTAAAATTTTAAAATGGAAACTATAGGTCTCTGTCTGTGTGTTTATGTATATCTATGGATAAAGGTTATGTATATGTAATATTTTTCTACCTACAGATGGTATTGCCAAAATTAATTTGTAAAAAAGCTCTAAATGGCTTAAAGAAAAATAAGCACTTATCATATTTCTAAACTCTCAGAAATATAATAGAAACTAACCCAAATGCTTTTCAAGTTTACGTGATCTGGAATAATCTTTGGTAAAAAAATAGCTAGAAGTTTATTGGTTTAATTAAAATTGGGATGTTTTTAGAATTATCAGCATTTAATAAAATGCAGACATACAACTTTTTATTCTACCTGGATTTCTTAGTCAAATAAGTTCATGTTATAGCTGCTACAAAATTTGTCATGATGGCTGTTTTAATGTCTCATGAAAGTTTCATAAGTAATTTAAATATGATTGTTAAGAAAAAGTGAATTAAAGTTTTTAAGTGAACTTTTCAATAATAATTGTTTTATGAGGTCTACTTGAATAGTTTCCCAAATCTCTCTGGTAACTTACACCCTTAGTGTTTTGCTGAGTTAAACGATAGAAGTTCATTGAATAATATATAGATCACTTTTTAAAAAGCTAAAATACCAAAACATTAATTACTAAACATAGGTTTATCTACTTTGGTAAATATGTCCTATACTACAGTGAAATACTGTACCTTTAAAAAAAGCACATGCTTCTAGAAATTATGAAATGTATTCATAGATTTGCCAATCTACAGACTGCTAGTGTAGCACTTCATCATTACTAGAAATTAAGGTTTTCAAGGGTTAAGAATTCTAATACATGTAATTAAAACAAGAAACAGTAAGGAAAATAACTCGGTATACAAGGAAAGTAGGATGTGTTTTTGGTAAAAAGGTATGGAGATGTATTTTTGTTAAGGGAAAAAATAATTTTATCGTAAAGTAAAACAACTTTCAAAATGAGAAAGAGGAAAAATGACAAACTAAATGGATATAGAAAGTTGGAGAGAATTTTACTTTGTGTAGTCAAGCTGGCTAAAATGGAATAAATTTACTATAAGGATTTTTTAAAAAAGATTTATTATCAGTAGTGTATTTATGCAAAACTAAAACTTAATTTTCTTTCATCTACTAAAAGGACAAATTTTTCTTGGACTATTGGTCTGCTGTTGATAAGCTTATGAAAGGTTGGTTCTGCTTTACTTTTTAATTGGCCTAGAAAACAAAGATTCTGTATTTTATAAAAATAATTTCCTATGCTTCATGTCTGATGACTTAAGAAAACAGTCTTCTCTATTAAAAAGAGCTATGTTTTTGTTTTGTTTTTACATCTATATAACTTTCCGTATTTGCCTGAAATGTCTGTCACTTTGGTTAATGGATAACTAACTATATGTCATTTCATTGACCTATAATCCTATTTGACTGTTTTTAAAACCTTTTGACATATGTGACAAAATTCCCCCAGATCAAATTCTAAATGAAGCCTTTTTGACCTCAAACTCATTTTGGAATTTTTAAGAAAGCCTCTGGCACATCTTAAGAATCTCAAAACATTTGTTCTCTCCTTATAAAGAGATGTTAGACTAATTAGGCTTATTTGATACACAGTCATGTAGAATTTAATGATGGGGATATGTTGAGAAATGAGTCATTAGGCAATTTTGCAGTTTTGAGGAACATCATAACGTGTACTTACACAAACCCAGAAGTAATAAACCTTTAGGTTCTAGCTTTATGGATATATGTCATTAATGTGTTCCAGAAATTATATAAAATTTTTAAAAATCTATTATGTAGTATCAGTCATAATTCCAGTTATCATCTTAAAAATATTGTGTCACAGAAATAACCAAATCTCCTTGTCAACTGCATTAAAATGAACTTTCATCAGATCTTTAATCATGGCCATTAAGTCTTTTGTCATTTACAGACAGTTATTGTTTTGCTGATTATTTTGCAGAATGCACAGACTCATATATAACCGGACAGTTTTATGGAACTCAGGTTGACTTTATGGAGCCAATAAAGCCCCTTGGAAAACCAGCCTGATACCCAGCTTACAGGGTCCCCAGTAGCCGTAGCAGGTGAGTAGGAACATCACTTTCCGGCAATTGCAGGAACCTCACGATACCTTGGGGACCCTGAGAACAGAGGAATGAACTCAAATATATAGCTATTACAAGCAAAATCTGATGGTGAGGCCTTGGCTTGGCTTCCTAGCCTTAAGAGGCTATATAGTCTTGCTGTACTTATACAAATAATCAGGCCAAGTTTATTGAAAGTACACTTAATTTGCAAACAGATTAATTTTACCTTTGATAGAAACGGGGTGATTGCAGAGAGAGAATTTATGTCAGCAATACATCTTTGTGGATATCAGATTTTAGTGCTGTTAACTGTCTTTGATATTTTGTTTTCTATCTGTAAAGTGGACTAGATCTTGAATTCTTTTACTTTCCTTCAATAGTTGGCTACAACTCTCCAAATTAATATTTCTAAATTATCGTACTCGATCTGGAATCACTATATATAAACAAAAGCTGCCATTTTCCTGAAGTCCGACAAACTGAATGTGAATGTGATATAAACTTCCAAGAAATCACCAGAACAGCTCATGTATGGACAATCTTCATGTCTGTTGCTGTGCAGGTCACTCAGAAAGTTTACCTGAACATCCAAGGACATCATCAGAGACATTCAAACTATAAAAGATGCTTTTGCCCCGACATCTAGAAATCTCAACTGGCTGCCCTCAGAACTAGGTTTATAGTCTGCTCTAATCATTAACCTTCGTTTTCTTTTGTTTCCATAGACATACCTCTTATTAAATACCTGACTGCTTGTACAATAAAGGCCTAACTTTAGGAGCTCACCTGTATCACCCACCGCCTCCTGCAGTGAGAGACACAACTGTTTAACTGACCTGTTCTCAGGACTGGTTTGATGAGATGGGGCAATCTACCAACTCAACTTCTTGACTATGGAACTTCTTAGTGAAGTTTCAAAGGTGGGACTGAAAGGAACAGAATATGCTACCCCAAATTGTGCCACTTTGGCAGGTAGATTATTTTGAACTAAAGGGAATCAAGACCCAGCAAACTCAGGAAAACTGCCTAAAAGAATTTAGATAGGGAACCTGTACCAGAATGAGCTATTACCAGAGATAACTTTTTTATGTGAATGATTTACCTGCACAGCAGGGCAAATATCTATTTACCATACATGTGCTCTTCTTACCTTCCTTCCCTTTTAAATCCCCAGCCCGTCCCTTTCCTGAGCTCAGGATAGTATATAAGCCTCAACTGCCTTTGAGTCTCATATTTTTATGGGGCTCCTGTATATATGCAGTTAAGTGTGTTTTTCTCCTATTAATTTGTCTTATGTTAGTTTAATAGATCAGCCAAAGAACCTAGAAAACTTTTCCACCCTTACAATGTGCACCCCAAAGTACTGCAAAATTAAACAAGAGTTGTAACCTCTAAAGACCAGGAAAAATATATTTCTTGAATTAAGTTGAATCGTTGACCTAGAATAGTCTTCAGTTTAAGGGTCATGGACTCTTAAATCACTACATAGACAAGAAGCTTATAAATGCAAATGTCCTAAACATGGTCCACAAGTGAATAAACTTGAATGATTTTGAATGTTCTTGAAAGTAATAAAATATAAATTATTTTGAAAGCAAAACAGGTATATTTTTCATGACAACTTTTGCAAACTATGTTGGAATCATTTTGAACTTTTAATTTTCCTTTCATTTATTCAAAGATTTTAAAAATTAAATCAGTTCATTATAAATAATTAAAATATAATCAAATGAACTGGTTAATTAAATTCAGTTTTGACTTCTACACTCCTGAAGTTTGAGGATGTTTAAATGCACAGCTACTGAACAAATTTTCTGAATTGGTTTTAAAATATTTAAAATATTTGTGGTTTTAAATAAGGACTTTAAAAGTTTAAGTGAATAACTGTCACCTCTAATAATATCTATGCGTACAAATAAGAATCTGTTGCTTACAGCTCAGTAAAATTCTTCCAGTCGTCTTCACTAATGGATGGTCTTGTGTGACTCAGTGCAGACATTAAATGTGACTGACTAATAGCTGGACTGGTTTTGGTTCGTCTTGGCTGGTTAAGGGAGTCATCTTCCTTAAAAACAACAACAAAAAGTTAACTTAGAACATAATTTAAAAAGCAGCAGTCCAAGCATTATTTCTTTTCATCATTTTTCTCAGGAGACTGTGCATTCCCTTTCTCATAAGATTACTAAAAATAGTTTGAAAGCAGGAAGCACATAACCATTTGATCAAAGTGTTTCAGTACCTTCTATAAATATAGCTCATTTACAAATCAAAGACATATCAAAAAAGGAAAAAATTTTAAAAGTTTTTAAAATTATAATGGATGGGGGAAAAGAAAAGCCATACTCCACTTTGGCTCCGGTATCTGCTTTTGATAATACTGATATCTGCTCTCAATTGATCTCTTTGTTCCTGTGTAAGTTCTTGGTAACCTTCTTGTGAAGCCGTTCTAAACACTGGCGGTTGTGAAAACAACTGCTCTTTCCCAGGCAATCCATGAAAATCCTGAGTCATGGAGCTTGGTGCAGACAGGCACTGTGAGCTCTGCATAGTAAAGTATAATAATGAGAGAAGGAAGGAAGAAGGAGAGAGAAACTGAAAAAAAGTATATTTATCAAAGATAAAATTAAAAATTTTAAGCACTAAAACCTTAACATGAATAAGCTTATTTTTAATTAACTAATCAAGCAAGTTTGAAATATGTTCATATTCTCTAAAAGTTCATTTATATCTACATTGTTGAACCATTGTAGAGTGAAAACTGCCATACATAAGGTCCTTTTAATGCTTTGTTATTAAGTCCGCCATACCAATGCCCTAGGGATAGGTTCCAAATGAGCCTTATTCTTAGTCTTCAACAAATAGAAGGTTCTAAGACATTTCTACGTAGAAGTTAAGAAACAGAAAACAGAATTAAAGACTAGAATATAAAACAATAGCTTACTATTCTTGGGAATAAAATAGGTCACTTTTATATTTTTAAAAACTGGAATAAAGCCAATGTATAAAAAAAAATGAAAAATATAACTAAATACAGGAAAAAATGTTATGTGTGCCAATAAAATAACAGTGAACCACTGTTAATTTTGGGGGGATATGTGTTGAATGCTGTTTTAATTTAGAAAAACAATGATACTGTTCACATTTAATCTAAATATTTTCCTCTTAGAAACATTACTACCCATAATTTTTCACTGTGCTTATACTTTCCACCCAAAGTATTACAAATAATTAACATTTTGCTGTCAGGAATTTTTGACATTATTATACCAAGTTTCTCATTAGCCTCAAAAGTTCTAAAATAATAGAATTTAAGTTTAATATAAATTGGAAAATGTTTGAAGACCACTGAAGGGAGATAAACCTGAAAGAAACCAACTGGCTACTTTGGTTTCCCCTTGCTGCCAGCTCTGTCTTACAGTTCTTACTAAGGAACAAAAATGACTAATTAGTGTAAGTGAGGAAAAGAAGACTATTTTACTGAAGAACCAACCAACCAGAAAGGACATGTGGGGCTAGTTAGGAGGCAGATCACTGTCCAACTTTACATCTATGTACAGCTTTCTATTTCAGAACCGTACAATGACAACTGCACAATGTACCAAATCAGAAGAGGTTCCGTTTCCAAGTTCTGATTCGTAAGAGCTTCCAAAGTAGAGCCGGTACACGTTGAATCTGGATTCATCTGGAAGCATCTCAGACATCTCTAGAGAAACAAGGGACTGCTCTAAGCCGCATTCTCCATCTCCAGCTGAATCGTCGGAGCCACTACTATGGTTAAGAAAAACCATTGAAGACAGACTGAGGTCACTGTCAGAACTGGAATTTCCATCCTAAAACACACAAAGGACAACCAGTTATAAAGATCTAAATAAGCCACAACTCAGGAATAATAACGCATTCTAATAGACCAGTAAGAGGACATCTGAGGCATTTTTCAAAAAAAGCTTTTATTCTCTAATGGTTCTAAAGACATAATAAAATTTTAACTTTTTTAAAAAAAGACAAGTTGGAACATGTAGGTAATTTGCCAAATATCTCCCCCAAAATTGTAACAAATGTAGGACTCAGACCTCTGGGTTTTATTTTTATGTCTGTGTTTCAATTCATATTTTTCTACTGTGAAATGGCAAATCAACCTTGTTATATAGTGCTTTATCATTATAGAGTGCTTTACAGGTAAATACCTTTTCTGATAGTGAAAGAAAAAAAAAAAAGAACTCCTTAAATGGCTTGCAATAACAGCAAAAGCTTGGTAGTACCTGATCTGGAACTGTTAGGCCCCACGAGAATCCTCATTAAAATGTATAGGAAAGGAGTATACAGGAAAACCCTTCCTAGAAAATATATGGTAAAGTCTATAATGTAGCAGAGTTCAAATTATCTGGTGAAAAATTAAAAAACTATCCCTTAGAGAAAAGGCTGGTTCTAGGGTTAAGGTACAGAAAGTACAAGATAAACCTAGAACACCTTGTTGTACTGGGAAGTAAGTGACCAAAGAATGAGAGGACATAACAAAAGGACACAAAAGCCATCCAAAAGGGGCTCCTGTTGGCCAGATCTGGGACGATGTGAGCTTCAAAATCAGTAACTTTATTTTTTAAAAATTAAAGTATAAAACTATACCCCAATATTTTTGTCTATATTACCTAATTCATGATAACCCAATTTAAATAATATCTTTCCACATACCAACATATTTCACCAGTAGGAAGGTAATGTTAAAGAAACAGACAACACACCCTTTATAATTACAAATTCTCTGCAAAGCCAATATTCCAACTATGGAATGTCTGACTAAAGGCAAGTTTCTATTGTTTACCAAAGTTGTTAAAAAACGGGATTTTTTCAGGTTGAGATTTCTGATAATGAATTTCTCTTACCACTAATAAAACACCTTAGTAACAATCTCCTCCTAGAACTTACTTGGAGTCCACGAGACAGCAGCCTTCCATGTAAGGCCTCTAACTGGGCATTGTAAAGTAAAGCTTTCAGATCAGCTCCTGTGAAAGAGTCAGTTACTGAGGCCACATGCTGAAGGTCCACGTCATCCGCCAGAGGTAGAGACTCACTGAGAACGTTTAAAATTTCAAGACGTGACACCTGAAGGGAGAAATAACTAATTAACAAATAAAACATAAAATTAAGTATTTTAAACTAATGATTTTTTATAAATTAACTTTACATATCTAATAAGTTTAAAAGTAAGTGAAAAAAGCACCACCAGTGTATCCTCTCTCCTGCTTGGACCTTCTTCCCTAACAAGGATCATAGGGAGGAAAATGAATGAAATTCAACATTCTTAACTATTCGGTGTAAATCATTTCTTATTCAAACAGTGCTTATTTTCTAGATCTGGGCAACTGTGCCAAGAAAGTGTTTTAAAAGGAAAATTAAAATAGTTTAAATAATAGCTACATGTGACATATATTTAGGTATTTTATACCTCTGACTATTCATTCGTCTATTTGTTCTTTCACTCATTCATTAGTTTCTAAATCTGGGAACAAGAGCTGGATCAACATAGGACTAGGAACAGTTAAAAATCATATCTCTAGGTAACCTGTTTAGGTGCATTACTAGTCATATGCTTGATTCTGTATCAGTCTTCTGTCAGGATAATAAGGTATGTGATTTTTACACAGGGAATGTGGACATGCAATACTTAAGGTTTCCTTCCTTTCTCGCCATTAGCCAACACTGAAAGATTATAAAGACCTGCATGGAAATGGCTGGGCCAAAGAGAGGCTAGCGTCTAATTCAGAATCTTTCTATGCTGTGAGCAAACAGCAACTAAAACTTTTGCCTAAAGCTGGTCTTCTAAGGACAACTGCTATTACCTGCCAGAAGTAAAGTTCACAAGGAAAGAAGTTTGTTGGGTTTTGGACTCTAAATATGAAATTGTCACCTGATCAGGAGGAGAACAGTATACACATTTATCTAGCCGGCCAGGCCTAAGCAGGGCAGGGTCAATCAGGTCAGGGCGACTAGTTGCAGCCAATACATAAACACCTGGGGGAAAATAATAAAAATTCTTCAATAAATCTTGGTGAAATTTTGTTACAATAAAATGTTTCTGTATTTACAATTATTACCCTGTAAGCCTTCTACTCCATCCAACTGAGTCAGCAACTGGTTAACTACACGATCTGTGACCCCTGTATTATCATGGCCTCTTCGCGGAGCAATGGATTCAAATTCATCGAAGAAAAGAATGCAAGGCTTTGCAGCCTGTGCTCTGGGAAGAAAAAAAATCCTAGTTGAACAGGGCTTCAGAGTTCGCAGGGGAATTTCATATATATACACACACACACACACGCACACGTACACATGCATGTATTTCTGTATTTATTTAATTATTCACAATGAATTCTTAAAGAAGGACTCTCTATAAAATTTATTTTAGTTACATATATTACTTTTTTCCTAATTTGAATCTTAACTTTTATTAATTTGTTAATTTTGTTTTAATTAAAAAGAACATAAATTTCGTCTATGGTAACAGGATGGACTAGCAGTCTGAAGAACTATCCCTAATACAAGACACGTATCATGCTGATTGAAAAAAACCCAACAAATATTAAATGCTTGGCAAATTAATATAAATCTGGGCCAACAAGAAACTGGAATTACCTGTTCATTGAATGAATGACAAAGCTTTCCTAGAAAACCAACTGGGCCTGATGTTTGAGTTGCGTAAAGATTTTTTATGAGTGACTCAATTTTTTCCAATAGTTATAAGACTATTCAGATTTTATTTCTTCTTGTTTGACTTTGGTCAATTATCTTTTTATCTATGTTACCCAAGTTTTAAATGCATTATCATCTTTTACACTTCTGGTGTATCTTTAGTCATGTCCTCTATTTTATCCCTAATATTGTTTATTTGTGCTTTCTTTCTTCTTGACGATCTCACTGGAGCTCAACTGTACTAGGCTTTCAAAAAATATCTGTGAACTGCTTTATTGAATTGTTTTCTATTTCATTAATTTTTGCTCTTATCTTTATTATTTCCCTTTATTTATTTATAGTTTATACTTTCCTAATTTCATGAAATAGATACCTAGTGATTAACTTTCAACCTTTTTCCTTTTCTAACAATTTAAGGCTATAAATTTTCAAAACTTATTTTGAAATAAGTTCTGCAGCATCTGACAATTTTAATAAACAGCACTTTCATTATTATTTAGTGCCAAGTATTTTCCATTATGATCTTTAACCCATTAATTACTTGGAAGAGTTATTTTAAATACTTAAAACTTACTGCAATTGCTATGTATGGCCTGACACATTTTCAAATATGTTGCAGGTGTGCTTGAAAAGAATGCATATTCTCTAGTTGTTGGGTACATTGCACTAAATATGCTTAGATCAATCTTATTGAATATGTTGTTTAAATCTTCTAAATTTTTATTTCACCTCAATCTAATTATTAAGAACAGGGTTAAAATCTACTATGAAGGTAGACTTGTCAATTTCTTCTTGCAGTTCTGTCAAATTTTGCCCTAAATATTTTGAAGCTATAGTGTTAGAGACAATTTTAGAATTGTGTCATCTTCCTGGAAAATGAACTTTTTGTCAATATGTGGTGACTGTCTTCTAAGAACACTTTCCTAGTAATGTTCTATTTCTTAAATTGGGTGGAGGATATACAAGGGTTCATTTTTTTATTATTCAAAATGTATATGTACATTACATATATTCTCTTAATTGCTTATTTTACAATAACTTTAGAATGGAAAAAAGTAGCTTTCTAATTAAAAAATTCCCTATAATAAGATCACATTTAAATGATTTTCATTCCTAAATATTACCTTCTGTATTCATATGTATTTTTAAATAAATGCAGTAATAGTTACACTCTAAGTCAGCCACACGAAATCTTAATTTAAAAAAAGATAAACTGATGTGATTACATGGTTCATATAAGGATCTACTTTGAGATTCTTTTGAATAACCACTTATGATTTCACTTTTAGCATTTCAGGAATATTTCTACTGTAAACATAAAACCAAATAATTTCCAAAACTTAATATTGAACATGTTTTATATTTAAGTGGTTTCTGTGAAAGAGAATCGTTGTTCTCTAGTTTATTAATAATCCACATATATCACAGGTGTCAAATATCAATTCTTAAAAAAAGAAAAACTGAAGACCAAAGAGCATTGACTGATAAATAACAGAATCAGTTACTTAAAAAATACTCATAGGGAACCAACCTAATAAAAATATCCCGAACAGCTTGTTCACTTGCTCCAATATATTTGCTGAGTAACTCTGGTCCCTATTAGATAAAATAAAATTACAATTAAGATAAAAATTTTTAAAAACAAAATATAATTTTTGTTTATGACTAAGTCTAAATGCGGTCATGAAAAATTTTTAATATGATTAAATGTGTCTTAAATTCATTTTTAAATTATGTGGCTACAATAAATATCTACACTTGGTGTTTTCTCTGCCTAGAACATTTGTTCCCGGATACTCACTGCTTCATTTCATTTAGATCTCTGACAAAACACCACATCCTCAAAAAGGCCTTACCTGACAACTCCGTCTATGACTCACTCCAGTTACTCTGCACCTCCTTATCCTGTTTGTCTTCCTACACAGCATCTACCACCACCTGACATAATGAATGTTCTGCTTATTGTCTCCATTAGTAGAATGTAAGCTTCAAAAAGGCAGTTTTGTTC